GTTGGTGAAATAAAGAAAGGAATGATTGTATACTTCCAAGAGGGCAATACCCAAAAAAAAGGCCAAGTGGTTTTCATGGCTATTCCATTTAAAGAGATGGAACCTCATGTGGTAGTTGAAGTGGTAGGTACATGTATACATGTAAATGTCTTAAACCCTTGACCATGTGTTGAGAGTATAACGTTCATTTTATTCTCAGCTTTTGAGATATTGATATACAAGCGGATTATGTAAGAAGCTTATTCAACCTATCTGCCCCAAGCAGAAGCATCCCCACCTCGTTCGAAAAGAGCCGTGTTAGTCGGGAGTATTCATTTTGTTGGTAGTGATGCAGCTGCAATACTTGCATTTCCTAATCATTCGTGAACCAGCAATGTGTAGTTTGTACCAAAAGATCCTCCTTTGCTAAGGAAATAGCGCCCTCTCTTGGTCCAGCTTGAAGCCCCTTAGACATATCATCAACACCTACGAGTAGTTTTAAAGATATAAATGTCCTGTTTGAAATTCCTTCAAAAACATGAAGCTGAAGCCTGAGAGTGGGCAATATTTTTGGCCATTATTGTAGGAAACACAAAGTGACGGTCACAGTCAGAGATGGAATGGGAAGTTCGAAGGACATCACATGTACACACCTAGGGAAGGCGTATCCACCTATTGCATACCAGCTACTGCTGTAATCCCAGAGCATTTGATGGAAGGATCTGTACATGAAGGTAAGGTGTTTGACATAAAAGTAGTCATGCAACATGTAAGTTGTAGATTATTTCAACTTTTTTTGCCTCCCAGATTCTTGAAGACCCTATAGGAAAGAATGATGTGGATGCTACATGTACACATGAGCCATTGTTGCAAGTTTCTAAATTTTCCAACAATGGCCAAAATTACGACCTAAATCACTGTCGTTGTGACAGTGACTGTATGGCCCTTTTACCACGTTTGTATCGACTTCTATCAGGGGTGTGAGAATTTAGCTTTTTCAGTTTCGATGTTGACCCTGAATCTCTTCTTTTTTGTACACCTGGTTTGTACAAAAGTATGGGATCTCTTTATATTTTCGTTAGCCTTTTGCAGCTTTAATTTTAAGTAGCCCCAAACACCCCTGTCCCCTTGATCGTGGCACTTGTGCTCATCGCCCGTTGTGGATCTGACATGAAGAGTGGGACTGACCTCAGGTCTTTTAGAATGAAGCACACTGACCATTTATGCTTTCTGACCAATTCTTCAGTTTGAAATCTCACTTATATTGTAATTTTGATAAAACATTAGAAGTGATGGTACGCATGTAACTTTAACCATTTTTGCTGATTAAAACAATAAAAGACAAAATTGTTACAATGAAGTATCATGCATTTTGCTTTTCTAGTGATACAAAAACCTGAGGAGGGCGTGGTCCAAGAGCAATGCACCAATTTTTCCAGAGCAAGGAACAAAGGGAAGAAATCGTCTGAGCCATTCTTTTTAGCCAACAATAGAGACAAACCAAGAAAAACTCCCTCTCCTTATGGAAGCAACGAGAAACTAGACAAGGGAGGACGGAAGACAGTGGGTAGACGAGACCTCAGCGATCACTATTGTCCACGTTAGTAAACTTCCAGTCCAAACAAGTCTCTGAAATACATTTTGTCAATTCTGTGAATGAAAGGCACAGTTTTTTTTTTAAACCAAGCAGCAATCTTTCCTTGAGGTGACACACAACTCACTTATGCTAGTTCATCACCATGTCATAAGTTTGCATGGGCACCAGGTGCTGGGTACCAGTGATGCTTGATGGAAGCCCCAGCATGCCTGTTTATCAACAATGAGGGAGCCCTTGTGCACAGAATAGACAAACTATTTGATGTTGGCTTCTTAATTTTTACACAACTGATTTTTCAAATCACTTGCAAAAGTGAAATCAATTGGGGAACCTTGGTTTCACTGATGTCCATTCCAAATTTTTTGCAGATAATTTTGAGCAAAATAGTCATGTCTCCAGAACAGAACATCACACTGACTTCCAAGAGATATCTTATCAAAGCACGTACAAGTATTATCCTTTTTTCAAGCAATTTACTCAGAAGTGTAGTGAGTCATGTTGTCAGGAAGCTTTCAGCCAATGGAGACCTCCCAGAAGTTGGTAATAGGGGTGCTTAATTTTCTATTTCCAAGGCAACTGTAATCACACAAATTTTGTATCATTTTTGCATCCTCTGAAGCATTAGGAAACAAGACTGAAATGCGTCCGGACAGAACAGAGGAACTGGATCTCATCTCGGACCACTATGGTGAGGAAAGCAAACCTAAACACGACAGCCTCATTGGTATAATGAAGGGTAAAGTTAACAAAGTGAAACAAAAATGGAATAATGGAAGCAGAGATGATGAATCTTCGAAATCCTCCTGGTATACAGAGCCAACCAGTCGGATTGGAGAAACGGCAAAAGCATCTTTTCTAGACACAAGTGAGTCTGTCATTGTCATAATTTGGTAGTTTAAAACCAATAAATCAGTTTTAATCAAGGTGTGCCTTAATTACCGGAAGAGCTTGAAGTCAGTTGTGGGCAACAGGAATGGCAGATTCATTGCACAGCTCAAACCCAGAAGTTGCTCATTTTATTGTTTTAGTGTAGGAACCAGTATTGTAGTACTCGTACTTGGCACTCATACTCGATTACTACTCGAGTACCATTTTCAAAGTACTTGTGTCTTGTACTCGTACTTGAAGAACAGTTCTTGTACTTGGGCTGCAAAATACTTGGAATAAAAATTGTACGCGAGCATTGAGGTACTCGTACTCGATTAACAGTACTCGATTAAAAATCTTTCAACTTATCACAGCCATTAAAATGCAATTATACAAGAAAATTAACCCTTGTAGACCGATGTTCGGAATGGTCCAACAAACCGAAGGCCTAATACCAGCATGTAGGACCACTTACATACATGTATAATGACACATTTACCGTCTGTGGGCTTACTAAGCCAATCATGTACGCGAAGTGCTAGGATGTACCTAGTCTTGTTTCCAGAACCTTCCTGTTTATTCCACGACACAAACCATCACCAGAAGAACCACTATTTCAGGAAGTGGCTGGTACACCTAAAAATGATCCTGTCACTGTAAATCTCATTATATGCCACACACTGCACTGACGGATCACAGCACTGCAAAAGGCATCTTGGA